ATTTCATCACCACAGATGTGAGGGCTATGGGCCTGAAGTCATTGGAACTGCTGGGGTGTGGTTTCTTTGGGACAGGGACTATTATGGATTTCTTAAAGCAGGTTGGAATCACACACTGTCTGAGTGAGAGGTTGAATATCACTGTAAACGGAGGTGCCAGCTGATCAGCGCAGGTTTTGATGACACGTCCACTAATCCCGTCTGGTCCAGCCACTTTCCTGGTGTTCACCCTCCTCACGTCACGCTCCGTCACGGCAAGTGTGTCCTCCCCTCCGGCTGGCAGCGCAGCGGGCAGTCGATTTCCTGACTCAAAGCGCGCAAAAAAGTTGTTGAGTTCGTCAGCCAGCGAAGCATCGGCACTCACCGGGGGGGTGTGTGCTGCTTTGTAACCCGTGATGGTGCATAGTCCCTGCCACAGTCCCCTGGAATCAGACTGTTCCATCAGTTTCTCCAGTCTTTGTGCGTAGCGGTGTTTAGCCTCTTTCACCGCTCTGCGGACACTGTAAGAGGCCGACTTGTATTCTGTTCCCAGAGCGAGTCCCGAGTTATAGGCAGCGGTGCGGGAACGCAGAGCGTCGCGGACAGATCTATCCACCCACGGCTTCTGGTTGGGAAAAGTCCTGATGGTCCTCCTTGCCGGTGGTATCATCCACAACTTTTCCGATAAATCCCACAACCGCATCCGTAAACTCCTCGATGTCTCCACCCGCACTGCTGTGAAACATCTCCCAGTCGGCTGAATCCAGCGCACCCTACAGGGCAGCCTCTGATTGATCGGTCCACCGCGTCACTTCCCTCACTGCAGGGGGTTCCTGCCTCAGCCTTTGTTTGTATTTAGGCATGAGAAAAACAGCGGCGTGATCCGACTTTCCAAAGGGGGGGAGAGGTTTCGCTTTGTAGCCTTCTTTGAATGGAGAATAGCAGTGGTCTAGGGTCCTTACTCCTCTGGTGGGGCAGTCGATGTGTTGAGTAAACTCCGGTATCACCTTTTTCAAGTTAGTTAAGGTAAAAAATGAATTGTACCAAATCCATTCAGTTAACTAAAGTTACACTCATATGCAGCATTTCTCTAAACTTATTTAAAATGTGTGAACAGAATTCATCTGAATAAAGTAATTTAAATGCATCTTCTTCAATCAAATGTTAACTTAACTTGAATTTACTCCGTTTTTTATACTAAAGCAAATTATTACATGACCTGTCAAAACAGCTGATGTATGATCAAAACAATTTAGAATAAATTATCCAAATCATAGCCAAATAATTTTTAGTGTTTTGTTATGTGACTAGCATCTTGACACGTTAGGCTATCATTAAGAATAATTTGGATGCATACTTGGGCTTATGGTGATTAATAAACTGAAACAAAAATTGAAAAAATCCTAAGCTATACAGCATTATAATGGTTAGTCAGTGGAACAAACTGGAATTATATCGCCTGTACTTAAAATACTGTATACATTTTAGGGCACTCCAAACAAATGAGTTGCTTCAACAATTTTGAGTTGAGTTTAATTTATGTGAATGAGTGACTCCAATTTGTTTAGAGGGTTAAGTTACGTTAACCCTAACCCTAACTCATTTATTTTATTAAGATGTGTTGTCAGGTTTTACAGTGCATGAGATGTGGGTAGGGTGTTGAAAAAACATGAAAAAATGTGGACCTGTAATAACTGTTTTTATCCACTTTGGGGCAGTGGTACACAACATGACACATAATTAATAAACTTTTAAGTTGATATTGCGAACAACTAACTACTAAATATGTTCCTGTAACAGCTAAATGCTAGTTTCTGTAAAAACTGTAAAAAAGACAAATCTTGCATGCCACCATGTCTTTCTTTAAGTATCCAGGTTCACATCAAACGTTTTTATGAGGAGAATTAAATTAAGCTTTTCTCTTGGAAGGGAAAGACTGGAATTTGACACATTCGTGGAAAATGTAACTTCTGGTGATCCATTTAAGTCTGATCTAAATTGTTTATGACTGAAGGGTTTTTTGGGGATTATTGTTTGTTTTTGTAATACTCCTTTTGGCCACAAGAGTGAGTATTACAAAAAGTCACCTATAAAAACTTATCTTGGCGAAACTTTTTTTAAATTTATTTTGGCCATTTAAAGAATATGAACTTGTGTCTCACTTGTGTTTCCCTGGACAGTTCAATGTCTCTACTTTCTGCTGTGTCTCATCTCCTATCCATTTCTGTGTATTTAAGCTTAAGTATTTAGTCAAAGGCCTCAAACTGAAGTTTGAGACACAGTCTAGATGTCTGTCTTGGTTTTTGTTCCTAAACCCTTCAATGCAGTTCACACACACAGTCAAGTTCAATCATCAGATCTGCTAGTTGCTCTAGTTCCATCATCTGTGGACCTTGTAGCTGTGTTTTTTGGTATGGAGTCTCTGTTTGGAGGGGAGCTTGAAACCAGCAGGTTTCTGTGTGTGTATTTGGAGGAACAGTGTGTACTGCAGGGATGTGACGGTCTGTTCCTGAGGAGAACTGCCCACACACCAAAAAATCTGCTCGGCAACGATCCAAAACTGGAAGCACGTCCCACCAGCCAGCCACGCTTCACACACACAAACACACACAAACATGTTTTGAAACAGCTCTGAAGCAGATGCTGATTTACCAGTGAGATTTCATTTTAGTCACAACAACTCAAAGAGAGTAGTTTATTAGAAAAGGTTGATGGAAATGGAAAAAAAACATCCTCAAGATTTACTCTTCTTTTTCTTTTTTTTCTGACAATGGTTACAAGTGTAAAGTCGAAGGTTTAGTGCGACTGATTATGTCGGAATTCTTTGGTGCACTAAAAACTAACATGATAAAATGACAGCATGAAATCCAGGCAAATGCAGCTGTGGTTCCACAATGCAACATTCAACATAAATAATGGAGTTGGTTATTGCTGGAATAATGCAGATGCTAATACTTCTCGTAACTGCAAAAACAAAGCACAGTCAACACCAGTACATAGTGTGTGCTGGGATTATTATTATGTGAGGACACATTGATGATGTGCAGTCTGCAAAAAGATGCTGCAGTTCTACTCTTGACCACCAGGCGGCAGCAACACACAGTAAAACATCCAGCCAGCA